TTGTGCTTAAGCGTGTCACATATGTGACTTAAGTTTGAAAGCTGATGCAGGCATTCACACCACTGCATGGTCAATTTGCTATTTATGTGTCACATGATTGCAGAAAACAAATGCAATGTTGTTTCAGAATTATATAACCAAGCCCAGGGAGATTGGGCAAAAAATTATAATAGCCTCAACCTCCATTAGTGTTTACTGTAAATTATCAATGTCATGAAAAAAAATGCTGCAATAAACTCCTCTATAATGTGTCCTCTAGAGTAGGCCTAACCAATACCATGAGTAAAGTGCAATGAGATTCAGTGTTAATGTGTTCTGATAGGAGGGTAAGGGTACATGTTAAGATCTTCAGTCTTGATGAATGACCGAATGCAAAATTGTATTGGATTCTTCTTCATTAAATTGTCTCCCAGACTCCCAACTCATTAATCTGTTTCATTTCAGATAAAATGATTTTTTCTCTTCTTTCAAGTGTGCTGCTCTTAATAATGCTTTAGATTACAGCCCGGAAAGTACTGTACTGTGCCATTAAAGGGATTTTACAGTGTAACTTTCGGTAATTATAGTGTACCTATTTACATGTAAGTATAAGAGTACAATATGTAAAGTTTGGGGGAAAAAGGGGGTAAAAATTATTTATACTGTAAGTATCAAAGAAATAAGGGGTACTTATTCTACTATTATGATACAACAATCTTACATTTGGGAGCAATTTAGCAAGAACATAAACACTGTATTTTTTGTAATAATTGTATACTGTAATACTTGAGGCTTTTAATAATCACAGGGCACATATCTATGCATTTATACAGTAATCTTTTTAGCAAAAGTGCACTGAAAACTAAAACAATTGCAACTTTTGCTTAAATATTGGGGCAAGATACTCTTCATCCATGTAGTGCTACATGTTACCCTCTTGTTCCATGTAGATACAAGTTAAGTACAATAAATATACACACACACAATCTATTGACTCGGAAACCTTTATTTGAAAAACGGCTTAATTCAAAACAGATTTACAACACTTTTTCATGTGAAACTTCTTTTTTTTAATCAGAAATTAATTTCAAATGCTTAAGACTTGACAGCAAGCATGTTTTGTCCACTTTTTTTCTCTTGCTTGCCTTCTTCATTTTGTTCCTCTTATTTTTCTTTCTTTCCACTCATGAATCTGAAGCAGAAATGATGCCCCTTGCTATTCTGTATTATTAAAAGAAAATACTGTACTCTCTACTGTACTACTCTTTTACCCTCATGCCATCCAAGATGAATTCGACTTTCATTCTTCAGATTAACACAAATGATGGTTTTTAGAAAAAAAAAAACTGGGAATATGCATAAGTGTAATAATGCAAACTCATGTGCTCCTAAAAATTGGAGCATCAACAGCTCATACTGCAATAACTGTACTGTAGTAATCCATATGACCCCAATTGATAGATCCATGCTTCTGAACTGAAACGATAGTGTTTGTAAAAAAAAAAAAAAAAAAAAATCACAATATTGTACACTTTTTAAACTGTAGACGATCGCTTCAGACCAACTGTAAGTCTAATGAAGGTTTCCAAGTCAGTGATATTATTGTGTGTATTTTTATTGTACAAAAACTGTAACATGGAACAAGAGGGTAACGCATCACTTTACAGTAATTTACGGCCCACAATGTCACACTTACCCTGTAACATGCAACAAGAGTATATTTCCCAGTATTTAAATAAATAAATAAATAAATAAATTGCAATAGTTTTAGCTTTACTTGCCTTGAAACATGTAAGCCCAAAACTTAAACATCTGCACTTTTGTATATGAAAAAAATAAATAAATAAATAAATAAAAAAAAATAGATATGTACCCTATAGTTTTTAAAAGCAAGTACCAAAGTTTCTATTGGTACAAAATTATTACATGTTCTCCCAAATGTAAGATTGTTGTATCATAATAGTAGAACAAGTCTAGTTCTGTAATACTTACAGTATATATATATATATATATATGGTATCCCCTGGTTGCTACCCCTTTATTCCACAAACTTTACATTATTGTTCCCTTATATTTACATGCAAGTACTTCATAGGTTAATTTACTTCAAAGTTACGCTGTAAATTCATCTTAATTACGCAGTACTTTCCGGGCTGTAATCTAAAGTGTTACCCTGCTCTGCAATATCTGGATCAAAAACAAACCCCAAATTTGTTTGTGCATCATTTATAATATTATACTGTCAAAAGTTCAATCAAATGCAATTATTACCACTTGAAATATAGATACTGGACTTTCAAAATGGCATATTGATTTCAATGAATTTATACTTGAAAGCTGATCATCGAGGGAAAATGTTCAAAAGTAAGATGATAATAGTCAATTGCAGGGCCCGTATTCATAAAGATTCTAAGAATCCTCTTAGAAAACTCCAATTTATCTTAAAAACTTTTACTTAACTTTTTAGATCTGAGAGCAACTCTGAGTAAGAAAAAGACAAAAACTTTAATCTTAGTGAGGAGGTGGGGTTGACCCTGTTGCTATGTATGACACAATCTTTTGAAGACTGTGATTGGTTGGTTGTCCAAGAAGAAAAAAAAGAGCAATTTGAAGTATAGAGCTTACTCGCTTACTCTCTCTCTCTCTCTCTCTCTCTCTCTCTCTCTCTCTCTCTCTCTCTCTCTCTCTCTCTCTCTCTCTCTCTCTCTCTCACACACACACACACACGCACATTATATTAATGTATATAAATCCTTTTTTTTTCTCCACTGTTAATTTCCTAAGGTATTTGATTGGCTTAGAATGATAAAAAATTGTTTCACTCTTTCCAACACTGATTGCTGTCTATTTAAGTGGTGGTTTGAATGTTGGTTTTAATATAGCAAACATGGAATAAAAAACAAGAAAGACGAGAAAGCTCTACTGAACAGAAGAACCATGTTTACTGTTAGAGTGGATGAACACAAGGCCATCATTAAAGGAAAATTCGGGCCGGGTCACACGGCACGGAGCAAGAAGCAGACGAATAAGCTTATAGCGCAAATTATTAACGGTTCATTGGCCTGCTTGTGCGCAACAGGGAAGCCTGCTATCTTCATAACTGCAATTTTTTTGAGCCTGCAAGGTGGGAATGTCCAGTGAAAACTAAATGAACAGCGACACAGTAAGAGGATCTGTAAGTGCTGTAATGTTAGTGTGATCACTCCTTACAGAAGGTTGTGACAGACCCAAATCACTGCTGCTTTATTGCATTTTCCCATTTGGCAAATATCTTAGTGATTACTTTCATTTGTGGCGTTATGGCATTCCTGCACTGTGTCTAAGATATTAGCGTGTCTCTAATAAGATCATTCACAAACATGATCTCTGCACAATCTCATCTATAGCATTTTATTAACTCAAATGGTCTGCAACACATTTCTTCTCCCTCTTCATCTTTCTGCCATTTTCTCCTCTGCTAAAAAAAAACTCTTAAGCCTCTTAAAAGTCCTCATCCATACTCCTAACAATTTTTGACCTTAAGACCTCTTTTAAGGGTTAAGATGCTTTAAGATAGACTTTTTTCTTTAATTGTAAGAGTAAATGCCCACATTTTTAAAAATGTTCTTAGAATTTTGACACTAGTCTTTGCATTAAGATTCTTTATGAATATGGGCCCAGACTGTTTTGTCATAATGTAATGCAAAAAAATTCTGTTTTTGAAGAATGGGGAAACTACTGATACTGATGTCCAAAACCCATTAATATTCCAGTAAATTTAAAGACGAGAGAATGTGAACAAGTTTAAATTATCATTCATTTTAATGCAAGACATCTCGTGTAACTTTAGAAGTGGACTTCAGGGGAAAATAGTTAATAATATGATATAACCCGTTTAACTTCACCCTGAAATGTGTAGCTTTGACATGTCTGAAATGGAGTGTGTATGAGAGAGATAAAACTGTAACTATTGAAAGTGGGTTATTTAAAGAAGCTGCACTGACAGGCATCCTCTAATGCAAAGCTAATGCATGATGCTGAGCTACAGTCCAAAGAGTTGGACCACATTACGCAATGACGGATACATTTGGCTGTATGTGCAAATGGACAGTAGCATGGTCTAAAGGTTGTTTTTAAGGGGCAGTATTTATTGCTGCTCAGATGCTTTTTGCAGTACTGTCTAGCAGTTGGAGAACTCCTACATTTAGATTCCACAATGTGAAGGCACATTTTTTTCTTTAGAATAATAACTTATTATGCAAGTATATATTATATATTAAATATGCATTAAAACTTCTCATAATTTTTCATTGTAAGTCATGCTAAAGTGCACATGCATGATATATGACTGACTGCATGGCTATATTTTAGATCTTTGCGATATAGAAAAAAAATCAATTCTGTCTCAGAAGGATGCTGTCACACATGATGTTTCAGCAGCTCTAGTTTTAAGTGAAATGCTCAATTACACAGTTACAAAAAAGGTCAATGTGTTTAATGAAGTGTATCTTTTGTTGTGAGCAATAACGGTGGAAATGTCAGACTTAACGGTGGAAATGCCAGAAAAAATAAATCTACACTGAGAAAGATCCACAGGACTAAAAAGTTAAATTATTGGTGTTAGTATTAGTTTTAAACTTAAAAAACACATGTTGTCAAGTGCACATCAAACTAACAAGAAATGTAGGCTTCTGTCTGTATGACTTTAATGCTTTAACAGTTCACCAAAAACGAAACAGTCACGAAGCAACTTGGGCAAGGCATTACCAAAAGGTTAGCAGTGTTTGAACACTACAAGTCATTAACCAATAGACTACGCCATGCACTGACACGATTAATTAAACTTAGTGAATGTGTAAATAAACTATGAATTATCAAAATAATGAATGGGCACATGCACATAGCAGATGGATGTGAAAGTGAAAGAAGAAACTCAACCATCTCCGACTCAAATTCCGAGCCGATTTCGTTGTCTTCCACAGCGGGGCAGCGTTACAGCGATCTACAGACAGCTTCATCACCCATCTATGTGCATTTGAGAATAACTTTGCTTGCTGTCGGATGTCACATACCAACAATCTGATGTAGACAAAACAGCTATAAAAGTGCGTGGAGATGTCCGCGCGCAGACCATGAGCGTGCGCTCCATCGAGGACCATGACATGACAAGATACCTGCATTTACGCAAGTTTACGTTAACGCAATAACAACCACTCATGGATTTCCAATGGACTCAAATCCTATGATTTATGGCGAGGATTGTTGAAGTGAAGATAAAATGAAAATAAATGGCAGTAGCCGGTTGATGAACAGTTCTTCACTGAGCTCTTACGAGATCTCGCTGAATCGTCCACCGTGGGTCTCCACAACTTTGGGCTGCTTTCTGATCTTCACCATCGTGGTTGATATATTGGGGAACCTCTTGGTGATTTTCTCCGTGTGCAGAAACAAGAAACTTAGAAACGCAGGTAAGATCGCTTTTAAAACAAACAGCCCTTAAAACATTTATCCATTTAAACCTAGTATTTATTTATTCATTCATTTATTTATTGTCACTAGCATATGTGTAGCCTATTTTTAATTAATAGCAGATGATCCAATGTCAGTCCCCTTTTCACTTTTACCTGTAATTGGGTAGCTAAATCTCAGTAGTGACAAGGAACAATATGAGTTGAACTTTATTGAATTTATTCATTATAACATAGGTTCAGAATCAGATATTAACTATTCTGATATAACGGACAATGAATTACAGGTGTAGCCGCTGTCCCAGACTTACTACTAGTTTTCAGCTTTACCAATTACTCATTGCATTTAATATTTATATCTATTCGATTTATAGTTAAACTTATCTCACTACAATTGCTTTATTTATTTATTTATTACTGAGGCAATGAATGGTCATTTTCACAACTTTATTTCATTAAAATCTTATTTGGGCAAGAGGATTTCAGTCAATGGGGTGCTTACTGTAAAATGAGGATACAAAATATTGACAGGACATGCATACTGTTTAACAGACAGTGTACACTGTATGAAGTAAGTTTTAAGAGTTCATAAATGAATTGGGATCATGCATCAACTGCATAAACTGGATTTCATATTTTCTGTCATTCCTGTCAGGGTTTTTTATTTGACTGTACTGGACAGTAAGGGACTATATTTAGAGGTTTCAGGTAACTGGCCCAATATCAAACAAAACTGAACAGGCAAGTAAATTTCCAGTGAGTGGATGGAGTGCTTATCACCGGTATCACACCGACCCATATGTCATATTTCTCTGCCAATAGAGACAGAGACCATATTGTTCCTCAACTGTGAAGTTTGTGGCACCAGTTGTACTACAACAGCACTATTTTCAAGGAAAACCAGTTTTGGACAAAATGCAGCATGCACTTGTGCATCCTTTACATTGCATATGTTTACATCAAATACAAAGAAACTCTAATTAACTAAATACTTAAATATGCATTATTATGTGGAGCAGCATGTTGATGTTTTTGCTGTTAAATTAGGTAGGCTTTATACATGTGTTGTATCAAATGTTCATATTGTGATAATTGCTGAAGCTTTTATAATGATAAATGATAAACAAAATTTAGTGCTGTCCTCTTATACGTTTAATAACTTATTTTTTTACAACAACAAGAACTTTACATATAAAATTTAATGAGAACTTTCATTTAACTTTACATCTAACGTAACCTCAGTTCTCTAGAAGAGGGAATGAGTACTGCGTAATATCTTGCGCTAGGGGAAAACCTCTTTTCCACTAGATATTGAAGCCAAAAATTATCCTTAATTTTGATTTTAATATTTTAATAACTTCTTTTTTTTTCAACAAGAACCTTTAAATTTACAGTAATAAAAATGTATTAACTAAACAAATGTTTCAAATGGATTAAAGTGCTAAAAAAAACACACAAAGAACAATAAAGAATCTGAACATTTTCAATCAATATCCAGATATCTTTTCTGGACTGGCAAGTATTTAAATAAAATACAAATACAAAATCTTCACAATCACATCAGACACAAATATGATGGTTGACCAAATCAGTTGGTGCACAGATAACCCGTCCTACCTCATCGGCATGGAGGACCCCAACGTACTAAAAGGGTGACGGTTAGATCATGGACACACTACACACTGCACCACATGGCCACTACGGCCCAAATCACACTGGTCAGACCAACTTACATACATAAATAAAAAAACTAAGAAAAATAAATAAAAACAAACAAAACACAGAAACAAATAAAGTTATGGAAAACTGAGACAAATATCCATTCATCAAAGACAAGAAAGTAACCTAATCACAAAAAACAGCATCACAACCTGAGTTAACCATTGTATGGTCCGCGATAGACTGCAAAACAAAAAGTATTTGGTTACGTTAGTATTCCAAAAAGAGAAGAAAAGCATTTTAAAAGCATCTAGTTTTGAGCTAGAGAGATATTTGGATGAAATGCATACAGATGCAAAAAGGCATGAGCCTATGTCAATTCCATCAGACATCCCACCTATCAATCCACCAGAATACCAAATGGAAGGCTGCGTGCACCTAAGTGGAAAGAGGTAGAGCAGGCTGTGAGAAAGGCAAGGGCTTCCTCATCTCCAGGGCCTAATGGAGTTCCGTACAGAGTGTACAAGAGTGCTTCGGCAATTGATAAAAGAGTCATGGGAAATACAGGTTGTACCTAGAGCATGGCACAGAGCAGGTGGGGTCTTTATACCCAAAGAAAAAGATGCTACATGCATCAGGCAGTTTTGTCCTATTTCACATTGAAGGTAAGATTTTCTTCAGAATTATTGCTCATAGATTGTCCATCTACCTATTAAAGAATGGCTTCATTGACACTTCAGTTTGAAAAGTGGGCATTCCAGGGTTTTCAGGATGCTGAGAACACATCAATATTATCTGGCAACGAATTCAATCAGCTTAAAAGGATAGGAAGGAGCTCCATGTGTCATTCCTGGATTTAGCTAATGCATATGGTTCAGTGCCACATGAGCTTTTTGGGCAGCATTTGATTTTTTTTTTCAGAGTACCAATGTCAATAACAAATTTAGCGAAAGCCTATTTTGGAGATTTGCACATTTATTTTGATTTGATTTGGATTTGATTTTAGTTTCCTTACTCCAGAATTCAGCACTACATGGTAATGCTTAGAGGTTGGAATAATGGCAGGATGCACCATTTCCCCACTGGCTTTTACCATGGCAATGGAGGTAATCATTAGGGCATCAAGATGGGTAGTAGGAAGAGAGCGCTTGGCTCATGGGATGTGACGACCACCAATCAGAGCATACATGGATGACATGACAACATTGACTACAACAGTAGCCTGCACTAATCGGTTATTGGGTAAGTTAACCTATAATATTGAATGGGCACCAATGCAATTTAAGCCCTCTAAATTAAAGGGATAGTTCACCCAAAAATGAAAATTCTTTCATCATTTACTCACCCTCAAGTTGTTCCAAACCTCTATGTATTTATTTGTTCTGCTGAACACAAAGGAAGATTATTTGGAAGAATGTTTTAATCAAACAGATCTCATTCCCCATTGACTTCCATAGTGGGAAAAAATACATTCTATGGTAGTCAATGGGGATTGAGATCTGTTTGATTAAAACATTTTTCCAAATATCTTCCTTTGTGTCCAGCAGAACAAATAAACACATAGAGGTTTGGAACAATTTGAGGGTGAGTAAATGATGATAGAATTTTCATTTTTGGGTGAACTATGCTTTAAGGAGCATCTTGATAGTTAAAGGAAAGGTAGTAGATAAAACATTCTTCATTAATGGTGAGGCAATACCAACAGTTTGTGAGAAACCAGTGAAGAGTCTTGGGAGATGGTATGATGGGGATCTAAAGGACACATTTGGAGTGGGAGAAGTTAGACGACAAGCAGTGGGAGCATAAAAAGCTGTGCTTTACCAGGCAAACTAAAACTCTTTTGCTTTTAGTTTGGTCCACTGTCGAGGTTGCTGTGGCAATTGACTGTGTACAAGGTTTCTTTGACAACAGTGGATAAGCTGGAAGCGTTAATAAGTTCATACATCAGGAAATGGTTGGGATTTCCACACTGCCTCAGCAGACTGGGACTTTATAGTAAAAGAATATTGCAGCTGCCAGTCTCTGCTTTAACTGAGGAGTTTGAGTGCGCCAGGGTTAGACTGGAAATTACTTTAGTAAAGTCACGCAACAAATGTGTAAGTGAGGCAGCACCAGTGTTAAAAACTGGTAGTAAGTGGTCAGCAAAGAAATCTGTGGTAGAGGCAAAGGCTGCCCTTTAAATTGGTGAGTTCTCAGACCTTTACCATGACTGTTCTCTGTTGGTGGAATGATCTGCCTAACTCAACTGAGTCAGTAGCCATTTTCAAGAAACTGCTGAAGACGTATCTTTTTCGACAGCACTTGATCCAGTAATACCAACACTTTCTCTTTTCTCTTCTATTCTATTCTTTAAAAAAACAAACAAAAAAAACAGTGTTAAATTAAACTGAGAGGGGTCATAGCACTTACGTATTGTTGTCCTGCTGTTCATTTAACTTCCGTTTAGTGCTTCTATAGTTCTCATTTGTAAGTCACTTCGGATAAAAGTGCCTGCTAAATGAATAAATGTAATGTACGGTAAATGGTGATATCGCAGGACTGTACAGCATGGTAGAGGGGGTTTTGGGCTCAGTTTAGCTCCTCCTAATTGGAACAAGGCAGGCCCAGTTTAAAGGAGGAAGCTGGTAGTCAACGAGGTGCGAAAGCAGGAGGAGAGGATGAGGTGTAAAAAAGCCATTTCAAGCCAAGCAGGGAGAGTTTATGAGATGGGAGAAAGTGGAACAACACAAGATTGGCTGGCAAGACCTTTGGTCAATGGAAGAGAGTAGGATTAGTTTCTTTATCAGGTGAACATATGATGTTCTCACATCACCACAGAACCTAAACCTCTAGGTAGGAGAGGATCCCTCTTGTCTTTCGTGTTCATCACCTGCCACATTAAGGCATATTTTGACAGGATGTAAGGTATTAGGCGCCGTGACCAAGTACTGCAATGTTTGGCTTTAGCATTGGAAGGCAAGCGTAACATGACATGAATAAGTTGCCACCTGTTCTAACAAAACATTACACACAAAAGACAATATTCCTCTGCCCAGGCGTGCAACCACCAAGAAAAGGTGTTAAAACCAATTCTCGGCCAGAACAACTGGAAGCTGCTAGGGACTGGAAAATACTGGCTGATCTTGATCAACGGCTTATTTTTCCACCAGAGATTGCCACCACTAACCTCCGACCAGATATTGTTTTGTGGTCTGGATCAGCACGCATTGTTCAACTGATAGACTTAACAGTGCCATGGGAGAATGCTTTAGATGAGCCATATGATAGGAAGAAACAGCGGTATGCAGTATCCAAACTGTGGCATCTAGGGATAAGCATTCGATTAAATTTTCTTAGTCGAT